AATGAATTTTCAATTAACTTTGATTGGCACTTTTCCTTACACACTTCACTGGCCACCAGGCTGAGGTAGAGTTGCCTGTTCCTGGGCTGTCTATCTAAATGGCCCCGGCTGCGGTTTGGTCTCTGGGAGCTACCCATTGAGTCGGCCACAGACATGTTAAAATGATAGACTTTTACACTTGAGAGTTCATGCAAAAATCGTGTGCGTAGGCGAAACCTAACAAATTTCAGCTGCCTCAAATTTAAAGCAGAGCAGCAGCAACAAAAACAATCACAACATTTGGGATTCATTATTTCACTTGGCGAGTCAACAGCAGGAAGGCATGTCAATTTGCACATATATATGCAAACATATATATGTATATGTTGCATGCTAACAAACACATTGGCTTGCCTGGCAAAAACTTGCCAATAAATCAGATTACATATCAAAAATTAATACGACAATATCAGGTAACGACATCAAGCAAATAATGACTTTTCTGCTGGCCACACACACACACACACACACACACACACAACTATTCGCAATGTTCAGCTTAATGAATTTTGTATTGTTTTACAATTGCATATACAAGAAAATGCATTGACAGCTCATTTTCGCTTCCTTCTTTCTGTTATATATTGGCTTTAAAATGTGCAGAGTTAATTAAACAAGTAAAAAATACAAAGTTTTGCACAGCGAATGCTTTTGGACATTTTCAAAAATAGTTCCGTAACTAATATAAAATTGTTCAAAAACCAAAACATTTATATAGTTGAAGGCCTCAGCTATCTTTCATCAAAATTAAATAATAAAATAAATAATTTTTATTTAATTAAATATCTGTGTATAACATTAAATTCAACACACAAATGTGAAAAATACGCTTCTGTATATTAATAAATTCTACGAATTTTTCTGTAAATATAAAGAAAATTCACAAAATTGAATGACAAACGACAATATTTTCAATGATAACATATTTTGCATACCAGACTGGGATATATAAAATATTTTAAAAATATTGTTTAATTTTTTTTTGTAAACACTTAATTGATATATCGGTCATGGCTAAGACTTAACGCCTAATTCACAGACATGACCCAAATACAAAAACATGCAGCCATTTCAAAATTTCACGCTTCAAGTTCACAGTTGAAAAAAAAATGCACACCGCATTCAAAATGCATGGCTGTTAATGGAAAATATAGTTATGTGTGTGTGTAAAAATGGCGGAAAACCTAGCCAAAAGCAGGCACAAAGCAACAGCGACAAGCAATGCAAAAAGGCTTATTAAAAACGCATAAAAGAAAACGGAACGTTTACAAAGTAGACACACACACACGCGCGAGCGCAAACACACGTGCTAGCCACACACGCTTATATGCACAGCACACAGCCCAACATACACACACACACACACACATGCACTTAACCATGAGCATATATATGCATGACCCTTAATAGCGCCGCCCCCTTCCTGTATCCAAAACCATCTTGTATGGGGCACTCGGGCGCATAAATCCGCGCTAAATGAGTTTAACACTTGGCTTAATAGTTTGGTTTTATGAAAAGCAGAAATAAAAGAAAAACCAACAACAACAACAAAAATATGGAAAACGTGCGAGAGGAAAAGAAAACGAGAATGTTGAGCAAAACGTCATGGGAAAAAATTTTCCACAGCATACTTTTATGCGCAATAGAAAACTTGCAAATCGCTTTTTGTTTTCATTGCAGGCAACAGGACGAATGGTTGGCCATACAGCGTTGAGGGGGGCGGGGTAGGGTTGAGAGGGGAGCTAGTTGAAGCCTTTGAGCATTTAGCTTGGCTTAGTTTGTGAGCAGTTTTGTTTTTATTTCTATTAGCAAACCAGTTGGCCGACTGGCTAAATGAAAAGTGCAGCATGCAGCATGCCGCCACATGCCGCCCGCCGCATGCCGCATTCCGTTAGCCGCATGCGAGTGCGAGTGGTGGCAAAAATGCGGCAAAATGGGGAAAAAAAAACAAGAAAAATCGTTTTCAATGAACGAATGAACGGACGGCTGGCGAATTTGCTGCGGCCAAGGCAAATCGCTGTTAGTTAAATGTTGCAACAACAGCCAACGGAGAACTCATTTTAAATATTAAATTTACACACACACACACACACACACGCGCGCGCGCAAGCACATGTGCATGTGTGCATGCATGTAGCATGTGGCATGCAGCAGTTAATAATTTACATGCATTTTACTTTCAACATAATTACAGGTGGTGTCTACGGAAAGTATCTCTACAGCCACCTTTGCCAGGCACTTTGAAAAACTATTTGCGCATAGACACACACAAACACACACACACACACACACACACACACACACACACACAGAGGTACGTATGCATACATAATTTAGTAGAGCACTTGGACAACATTTATGGGTGTAGCTCTGGCTGTAGCTGGCGCTGAACGCTGCGGCTGCTCGACCAAAACCGGATGCACCTTACGAGCACACAGACACTACAAACATACACACACATGCACACATAAACTCTTGCAGTCAGTAGCTCTCGGCACCTGCTGTGCATATTTTTAAACTAATACAAATATAATTTTTCGCTGCTTTCAACTTTTTTTCTTACACAGTATTTTATTGCCTCGCTGTCTGCGTATCTGTGAGCGTGTGTGTGCGCGCGCGCGTGTGTGTGTGTGTGTGTGTCTGTATGGCTTTGGTTGGCCGCTCAGCGTGTTTGTTTTTAATATTGTTTGCCTTAGCTACTTTATAGTTAAGTGCAGCTGGAATATGTATTCTTAAAGAGCACAACTTAAAAACCGTTGACAGCACACAAACATTTTCCATTGTTTTGCTTAAGGCTTACTGCATTTGTTTTCGCATCTACTTTCTTTCATTTTTATAGTTCGCGCAAATATTATTCATACAAAGAGCTTAAAAGCGCGTGTGCAGCCTCTTGCTGCGTTTTTTCATAAATATAAATATAATTTTTGCAAAAAGAAATACATATTAAGAAGGGACTTTAGGAAACAAAGATATGAACATTTGACACTAGAAAATAAAATATATATTTTAATAAATAAAATAAATTTTAAATTAAAAAGTTTTCTTCTGCGTTTTTAATACTTAAGTTGATGGTTGCATAAAATAAGAACAATAAAAACATGAAACTAAACTTTTGCCGTCGCTCGGTATGAAAGAATTCAAAGCTAACAATCTTAGTTTCATATAATATATATAAAAGCCAAGACACTCAAAATTTTGGTGCCGATTAAAACTTCATTGCTGAGCCATTTTTTGCAAAAATATTTTATCTTAATACTTCAAGTTCTCCAATATTTGTATATATGTTTATGTTTTTTAAATGATATTATATATATTTTTTTTCTTTTCCATTACATTAAAAAAAAATGTTTTCTTTGTCTAATGTAGCTTAAAACTCTTTGCATTTATTTGAATAATAAATGAAATGAATCTTACTCGACAATTTTGTGCTGTGCATGCATTATTATTGACTTTTTTTCGGTCTCTGCGAATTGTCGCTGTTGCTGGCAATGTGCGTGTGTGTTTTAAATCTTAACAGCTAACAATTAAGTCGCATCATAGCGAACATTTTGCGTAAATTTAAAAACTTTTTAATGCCATACACTTGCGGGCTTGTTGAACTTCGCTTCAGTGGGAGATAAGCGGCTTGAAAACTTTTTCCCATATACAAACTATGAGTACAACTGCAATAACTACCATAAATGAGTGGAAGAGACAGGCAAGGCAGCAAGACAGCAAGACAAGCAAAGGCAGCCCCAACTACAGATGCAATTAATTTCTGTTCAATATTTTGCACCCGCAGCTGGAACCAGAATCAGAGCTATAAAACGTGCCTAGGCATTATCCTGATGGCACATCTAATGCCACTTAAATAATCACCAACTAACCAAACTACAACTAAGCACAGACAATTTAGTTTCGCTTGAGGCAAGCACAACATAAATGTAGCAAACATAATAATTGCCCCTTTGGAGCTATTATCATTTGTCATAAAATTCAAATATGTTAATTAGTTCAAACTTTTTTCCTACCTTGGAGCTCCGAGCAAGCGCATAAGATCCTCATCGTGTGGCTTTCTTCAGCTGAAATCTGAAATCTGCATTAGTAAGTTTTTAAGTACATGATACAGCCAATCACCTGATCATTCTTGGCTTGATCCACTCCAAATTTTACGATTCGCCCTGCAGCTTATCTCCGGCGGATACGAAATATTCAGTACGTATGACTAATACAGATAACAAACTTAACAAGTGCCAAGTTTTTTTGACTTTCAGTCAAAACAAACACCGTCTGGCACGCACAATTAGAATATATCTATTAGTTTTTTTTTATGCCCCGATAAGATTGTTAGACTTTTGGCAGCGCGTTGAAGGTTGAGGTAGTGCTTATCCATAATATAAGTAATAAAGATATGAGAGAAACAAAAATGCCCTGTCAATAACCACGTCATATGAGAAAGTGTCGGAACCTTATCAAAATACCCTCACGATAAGAAACTTGTGAATGTCAAGAGTGATCGCCTCCTCAGCTGTGAGTACTTAGTAAAGTACATTCTTAAATAACCCACTGATTGTTGATTGTCATAAGCTTTAATGGACATTATCAAGACACTTCAATATGCCTTTGAACAAACAAAAACTTGACATTTCAAAGTCACAAACAAGATTTCATTTGAAGTGCCCCCCACGGAGAGATATAAAAAAAATAGAAATAGTTGTAGTCTATTTTACAGACTATATTTGTTATATCCTGCTCTTTTAATCTCAGAAACTGGATAATATTGAATAATTATCAATTTTGAGAAGGCAGGAAAATAATTGATTGAAATAAACCTGATTAGCTCTTATTGGACCTTATATCAAAATTTTGTTCTACTTAAGTCCGCGGCTATAACTTTTTTAAAAAAAAGTGGGAAAGTAATTCACAACTCCTAATATACTTAAGAAATATATATAAACAAAGAACAGAAACTTGGAGTGATAACTAATATTTAATAGATTATTTTATATTTTATAAAGTAGCTGAACAATAATGGGGTGTTAAGAAAATATTAAAAGAAATTATTTACTCTTATTCAGCTGCTGCAGGAAGTGCACCTTGGTGGCCTCTCGATTCGTTTTGCCATTGGGACTGCGCTTGATATCGGTGACAATAAGGCAACCGCCATGTAACTGCAGATAATTGGCCTCCACATTATCCTGCACATACTTGATCACATCCTCGGCAGTTATTTGAGCACCACGCTTGGGCACAACCGAGGCGGCCGCATCGTACATATTGGTATCGCTGTATACGCCAAAGACACAGACCTCGGCGACGCCGGGCATGTTGGTGATGACATCCTCAATTTCGCTGGGGTAGTACATGATGTTCTGGAACTTGAGCATGTCCTTTTTGCGGCCGGATATAAACAGGAAGCCATCGCTGTCCACGTAGCCGGTGTCGCCGGTATGGAACCAGCCCTCCTTGTCACGCACAATTCGCGACTCCTCGGGATTCTTGTAGTAACCGTCCCAGTACTGGCACGCATGGAAACACACTTCGCCAACTTCATTCGGATCCAGTGCCTCACCCTGATCGTTGACGATCTTCAGCTTGTTGCCCGGCAGCACGCGACCCGCCGAATTGGGCTTCTCGTCGTAGTGCTTGTTCAGGGTGCCATTCGAAGAGCCGAGCTCTGTGAAGCCAAAGGCGAATTGCAATACGCCGGGATTGACACGCTTGCGGAAGCGCTCCTGTACCTCCAGAGAGCAGCACATGCCGCCATATAGCAGATGCTTCAGACTGTCTATCTTGGTCTTCTCAAATTCAGGACAATTGGCCAGCACGGCCAAGTGGGAGGGCGCGATCAGCAGCCAGGTGATCTTGTACTTCTCGATCTGGCTCAGCAGAAGCGAACCGTCAAACATCTCGGCATTAATGATGCGCAACGTGCTGTGCACTCCACTGGCTATGGTTGTAGTCAGGCCGGTGACCCAGTCCAAGGTGCTGTGACAGTATTGTACGTCCGCGGAGGTCAAATAGCTACAAGGCGACAATTTGGGAATCGGTGAGAATGAATGCCAGTGAAAGCTAAAATTTCGCTTTCTTACTTGGTGGTCGTGAAGAACTTGTGGGTGCTCGAATTGGGCACAGCCTTGGGCACACCCGTGGTGCCTGAGGAGCAGAGAATGGCCATAGTCTGATCGTTGCCGCGTTCCAGGCGAACAGGTGCAAAGTCCTTCTCAATGGGCGTAGCTAACAAATCCTGAATGCTAATTGAGCCCGGCTTGTGGTTGCGCATGGTAATCAGCTTCACGTTCAACTTGGCTGTCGCGGTCTTGACCTTCTCGTACTCATCGCCATCGCAGAAGATGAGCTTGGGCTCGGTTATAGAGAAAAGCTTCTCAATGGTGCCCGGCACATAGTTAACATTGAGCGAATGGAAGGCGATGCCATTGAAGATACAGGCGTAGACCACAGCGGATATATGCGTCGTATTTCTGGCTATAATGCCCACAACATCTGACTGATGCAGATCCAGGTTGCGCATGTAGCTGGCGATGCGCTGGGAATTCAGGAAGAGCTCCTCACGGGTCAGCGTCGTATTTTCCGAAACCGAGATCTAAAATAGACGCAGATTTTAAAAACCAGTTAGGTCGAGTATACAGAAACTTACCTGAGCAATCAGCTGTGGATGACGCCTCATCTCGTTGAATGTGATCTCGCCCACGGACAGATCGGGCGAGAAGTAGGGCGCCTCATACTTGCCACTCCAGACCTTTACGTCCGGCTCGTAGCTGATCTCTGGCTTGAAAGGCATACTGTTGACTACCAATTGACATAAGCGAATGCTGAAGAATCACAGTTTTTCGGCGGGTTTTATATGAATGGCACTCATCGCTCAAGATATAATTTGGAGGGGTACGGCTATCAGCTGCCACCGGAGGTTACGTGAGCTTAATCAAAATATTTCAATAATCTGGGCTACGCATCGTCATATTTTTTTTTAATTAACGCAAGGCTTAAAGTCCACAACGGATTCACATACAAAAACTGTTCTTATCAAATCATCCTAAAGGAAACAGCCAAAAGTGTTAGCCAAATCGCGCCATTGTCTAGAACGGCGATTCGATAAGGAAAACGTAAATCTGACGTTTTGGACCTTAGACAAGAACTGGCAGTACTTTGAGTAAAGTTTGCACTAGACTTCCCCTTTTTGGGGGGATACGGAAATGGTTTATGATAATTCTATAAATAATAGTACGTTTCTTATCTATTTAACTGGTATTTACAAAAAAATTAAATCTGTATTTCGTTTTTGTTTTGGTATATATACATATACAAATGTGCACTTGAGACTTTAGGAATATGTTCTTATTTTTAGTAGGAAATACTTATAATTATTCTTGGGCCTTAGTCAAGAACTGAACCTGGCAACTACCCATTTGGGGGTATGGCAGCGGAAATGGTATTTGATCAATTTATTTATAATCGGGCGTTTGTTATCAATTTACCTGAATCTTAACTTTTTTATATATAGTATATATAAATGCACCTAAATATTAAGATTCTAATTCTGGGCAGGAAATGTTCATAATTATATATATATGGGAAGATAAATGACCTCACCGAAGGCCAGGCTGCTAAATGGGAGGCTAAGAATATAGATATCCAACTTTGCAACAGTAGTCATAATCATTTTGTTTAAATGAATTGAACGCAGATAACTAATTGAAATTCAAATTTTAATTAATCTAAAGTACAATACTTGAGATTAGATAAATTGTGCCAGAGAACCAAAAAGGTCTACCACGAAGCACAGTTGTCTCTGACATGCGTTATGGTTAGTTATGTTCGTGTTTATCTGCGGATGCTACAAAGAAAGCTAGTTGCAGTGAATAATATGATAATAAGTATACAAAAAAATATATGCGTGAGCTAAAATCATTTTAAAAAAGAGCTGCATGCAATATTTTAATGCCAAAATTGACAGTGCCACACAAAAGTGTTGCACGCCTCTCAATGCCACAATTTGCTGTTGTTGTTGCTGCTGTTGTTGTTGTTTTTGAAGTATTTGTTTTGCAACATGTCAGCCGAACAATGTGCCGGGGCTGGCTGGGGCCAATTAATCATGCAGCTTGCCCCAATAGATTTAAATTGTCACATCGTTTATCAAGCGCCAGTTGCAAGTCGCAAAAAAATCAATATTAATAAATAAATATTTAATAATTATTTTGCACACAGAAGCAGGTATTTGCCGAGCGCCTCAGATTAGATATCCTCGATGAATAATTTATTTAATGCAGCTAAACGATAAATGAATATTAATCAAAATGAAATGTAAATAAAAAAATTATCGAATTTAAGTACAGAAAATAATTGCAAAAAAATATCGGATACGGTATTCAGTTCAAGGTTGAGTTTCTGAATTATTTGCTTCGGGTTAAAAAAAAAAATGGATTGGGTCAAAAAGAATGGTTTTCAACATTCGGTACATATAATATAATATAATTAGTATATTAAATATAAACAAAAGTCCAGTAAGTGAGAAATTCCTTTTATTGGATTATTTTGTTGGATTACTATTCTTTTATTTACAACTGATATGCTCTTATTGTAGCTGAGCAATTTTTATCAGCATGAGGATTTCCTCCAAATCTCTATTAATCAGTCAGAATATTGGATGCGGCATGCACTTTGACGTCCGGCTAATATGCCATACAAAATCGGTAAGCAAATTGGTTATAATCCGCCTAAAAGCAGTTGGGCAAAAAACGTGCCCATGCCATTAATAAAATGTGGGCACAGCTGCGGCAAGTAGGGGGATATTTAATTGCCATTAATACGTCGATAGGAATAATAGAATAATTTATGCGGCTGGCCGTAAAGCAAACGATCCGCAGAACAGAAGAAATAATAGAGAAAACACAAAACGGCAAATCCGTTTGGCAAACAGAAAACGGAAACAAAAACCGTGCCAAAGTGCCTAAGCTGGAAAATCGAGCGAAATGTGTGCTAGAAATTAAAAGATAAAATACCAATTAGTGGATCTCTGCTGCAATTTTCAGTTAGTATCTGTTTGCTAATTGAAAAACAAACGAGAAACTGCTGCAATTTATGCCAAAGACACGTTCCCAGCTTAAGGGAAGCGGGCCGCAAAACAATTTTTAATCCAGTTGCATGAAAATAATCTCGTCCATACGCATATTTAAATTATGAAATATTTATGAAAATATTCAAATGCATTGCTGGCCAAACAAGGCAATGCAATCAGCAATAAGAAGTGTTAAGCAAGCATTGTGCTTGACACTATCTTAGCACCATTCTATTTCTAGCCCTGCATACACACACACACACACTCAAACACACACACTCGCACACGCACATACACACTCTCTGTGCCAGTCAACGGAAACGGAAGTGTGGCACAAAAGCGAGCTGCATTTTAGCTTTTGCTTTTGATATGCAACTCAATGAATACTTCTGCTTCTTCTGCTGCACATTTCCCTTAACACATACTTTTGACTGGTAAGCACGCACACACACACATACTTAGTATCTGTGAACTTCCGTGCATATATTTCTAAACAATTTTTCTTTTCTTATGCGCTCATCTAGCACGCACTGCAAATATTTCAATATATTTGCATGATGATGCAGGAATTGAAATTCAAATGTGCTACGATTAGGCCAGTAGGACTTTTGAATGCGCTTCGGCATCCATCCAATACATTTTTCTAAATTAAGAACAAAATAATGAAAAGAAGCGCATCAAATCGCTTTGATATGCCCGGCCAATTGACCTCAATACCCTGCCTCGATGAAAAGAATCCAACACGAATGCAGTGCAGGCAGCTGGCGAAGTGAGTTATGCAATGGCAACGTGTCAGCAGCAATCGCCATTCGGCAAATACACATACTGGAATCCACTTTTGCGAATACTTAAGGTGGCATCAGGCCAAAAAGAAGAACAGCAACAATAATAGTCAAGCACTCGTTCGCGGCACACACGACGTATGCGCAATTAATACAGAGTCCGTTATAAATGTGTGTGGGGAAACAAACAAAAACAAGTCGCCAATTTGCTGGAGGTCCATCATTTTAAGTGGACATATGGCCATATGATTACGACTTAAGCTGAGAGGGGAGTGGGGAGGGCGATAGGCGGGCAACTGTTATTGCAGTGAAACGCGAAATATGTGCAATAAAAATGTTTAAAATAAACGATGCTCAACTTTACCAAAGCACACACACACACGTTGAGACGAATTTCATGGCGCTGCTGCCGGCTTTCAAAGGATGATAAATGAGTGTAAGAGTTAAATGCCAGCGCACAAGCAAAAGACGTGGCCATTAAAGCTATTTTATGGTCAACAAAAGCAGCTGAAATAAAATATAAGAAAAACAAAAATAACGTTTGCAACATGCTTAATTGAGCCGAGCAACGAGCCATTGGCCGAGCTGCGGCCATTTGCCAAGTAATTGACATTTTAAATACGCAAGAACGGCTCACATGGCGTATGATTGATGTGCGCCACGGCATATGGTATACTCCTCAACATGTTGGCAGCGGCTAAGCAGCTTACAGCTTACATCTCGCAGTTTACAGCTGGCAGCATGCATAAGTAGCTGAAATTAAATTTTGGTAAGCGCAACAAGCACTCTGGCCCCATGTCCCATTTGCTGACGCATGTTTATGAAAAATTACTTAAGCTGCAGAAACATGAAAATGAATTTTTCAACAGCGCTCAGTCTGCGTCTGACCTGGCAGACAGCAAAACAAAACAAAACACATAGAGACACTCTCAGAGACAAGTCTGTATGCGGCACGTGGCGGGAAGCTGCAAGGAATCGCAGCCGCAACAGAAGCTAATAAATAATTGTCTGGTTAGCAAAGACAAAGCAATGCCTATGCGGAGCAGGAGCTGGAGGCAGGAGCCAGGCGGGTTGATGGGTTGAAAAATTCGCCTTAGCAATGGCAACATAAATAAGCACATATAAATCATGCATGCTTTGGGTCTGTGCTCCTTCAGAGCTGTCTTGCGTATACCGCATATATAAATACGCAGCAACAGTCCCTATTAAAAGTTAACGTCTGTGGCCTAGCACATAATTCACAGCTGAATCAAGCGAAGGAGAGAGAACCTTTTAGCTATTGCTGCACTTTTAAGCACTGGAAAACCATCGATAAGATTTGTATTGCTTCGATAAATGTAACTGGCTATGAAAACAATAGATGCATCAACAATTACCTTTGAAAGTATTAGAAAAAAGTCTTAAGAGTTATAGTCTGTGGCCTACCCCATAGCATAATTCACATCTAAATCCGAGAGAGAGCATTTCAGCTATTGGTGCTCTATTAAACAATAGAAATCTATCGGTAAAGCTTGCACTGTTTCAATAACTAGAATAAATGCTTTTGAAATTGAAGAAAAATATCATAAATACCTTCTGCCTTCATCTACTACTAAGCCTCTTCTGTCCATATTCCCTAACTTAAAATCCAATTTTAATAAACTACAAGAAAACTAATAATTAATTAATATAAAAAAATAAATTTTTTTTTATGCTTTACTTATTTATTTAAATGTAACTATTTCTTTTTGGGAATTGCATTTTCTATTATTCATTATTTTCTAGTATTCATTTGCGAACCAAACGAAAGCTCCTGTAAAAATATCAGAAACCTTAAAATCGTCAATCCATATCTCAGTCAATCAATCATCAGAAAAACGTTCTTTTAATTTATACATAAACAACATCGAAACTAAACAATAAATATAAAGCCACATTTCTTCCGACTTAAATAAAATTAGGTAAATGAAATTAAAGCGCAAATCTCATCATTAAAATATATACATTTAACACGAAGCGAAAAATAAAACGCGCTCAGTCCACAAATGTCTTTGGCTCAGTGTATTAATTTCCATGGCAACTTTTAATTAATTCCAAACCATTTAACTGTAAACAAAGACGGCATAGAACGTGCCCACTTTAACGTCGGACTTATCTCATATTTTACAAATTCGCCTGGGCAAATAATATGCCAGCACTTTAAACGGCTTTAAGAGAATGACGGCCAAATAATTCGCGCCAATTGTTGGTCATAACTCAAGTAACAGTCCGAACAAAGGGTTAATTAGGCAGTCAGATTTGATTGTCCATATACAGTCCACACGAAAGGAGTCCAAAATTATTAAGCAACTTTACGGAAGAGGATTTTGGCTTAGCCAAGAATTTTAAGGCTTATGACATTGGCCTGGCCTGAGATTATATATGCCCAGGATATTTGGTTAGCTCTCAGATCTAGTACAAGAAAAGCATTGTAGTTCATATTAAGTTACTTCTAAGAAGTTAACCAACACTTAAACTTGGCGCACAATGCCAGGCAATGCCATAAAGTACTCTCATGACAAAGCCCACAAGCGATTTATGGGCGAGAAGCAGCCATACTTAATTAGATATTTTAGTCGGCGCATTAGCCGTAACACCTATGCGAACAACAACTAAGACAACAACTGAAACAACAACATCAACAACTGCCGGAACATAGTCCATTGTCCACTGAGAGAGAAGCCAAGAAATTATGGCAGCTCAGCAAAGGCAGCAGCAACCACAACTGCTTAGGCTGGGCGTTAGCCACGCCCATATGCTGGCATGAGAGTGTGTGTGTGTGTGTTTAGCAAATTAAGTTAGCAAACTAATAGATACACACATGCGAATAGTCGGGGGAGCACAACTAGCACTTTAGTCGGGTATGAGCGACTTGTAGATACCATCTGCCTACCAACTGCCTTCTTAAAGGTTTAAAAACAAATTTGAGCTTGTGATATGCCAAAATGATTCAACTCGTTATTATCGAGGAGGAGGAAAGAGTATAAGCAATATTCGAGCTTCCTTCTTCCCCCAAATTGACCCCTATGATATTATTATTGCAATGCTAAACATTGCGATTCAATCAAAAAGGAGGCAAAGGGATATTCGATATTTTAAAATTTCCCTTCCAATTTCCTTTAACTGCAAGATGCCCACTTTAAGCATTTGATTACAGGGTAAAACAACAACAACAACAACTGGGTACAACTTCATTACGTAATTCAATGTGGCCTTTACGTCCTACTCTGCCAATAAACACAATTTTACGCTAATTGGGTAACAAATATAATTGCCAAGAGCAGCGTAATAAACCACACACACACACACACACACCAACGCACTCTCTTGCTCATACACACACACGCACGCGCTCACATAAATATCTGAATTGTAGCGAATATTTTGGTTAGCATCTTGCCCAGTTTATTCGCCTGTTGATCTAGCGGAAGGCGCAACCTCAACAGGTTCATTAGGCAAGTAGCTGGCATCGCATGCTCGTGTTGTCCTGGCAACCCGTCCACAATACACACTCATCGTGCAGCAGCGTGCACTGTGGAGCGCCATTGTGATTAGCATGTAATGGGAGGGCAGTTGGGCAGACACCCGCCGCATGCCGCATGCCGCATGCCACAATGTGCTACCTGATGCTGCGTTTGTTTGCTGCCGCGTAATGAGTTTCTCAATTCATTATTAATTAAAGCCTAAACAAACTGTGCTGCTAAATTATTTGCAAATCAACAGGCAAATAGCCGAACGAAACGCAAAGCAATCCCCGAACTGCAAACTGAGAGAAAGGAGTGGAAAAGTGTGGGAAAAATGAGAACAACTTGCACAGATCCCTGGTTTGGTTTTTTTTTTTTTTGTGTTTCTGTTTGTCTAACGCCGATTCGATTTATTTGCATTTGGTTAATTGAAATAATTGTCCTTAATTTGTTTGTGCCTGCGAGCAACCCCCACCCTCGGCCCCCCTTCACTTTTACCCCTGCTCAACATCGTTTCTCAGCACTTCTTCGCGCAATTTATTGTCTGCGATTTGCGGCTCTAATGCCTGGCAAATCAATTATTTGCGAGTACTTGGGCATGGCAAAGCAGCAAAATTGATTAAAATTGATTTGCCACAACCCTCAAGAAAATCCAAAAGGCTCGACAAAATTCAAACAGCGCGTTAGACTTGATTAAATTATTTAACATTATTTCGAATAAAAGTCGTCTCCGACATTTCGCTCTGCCAGCCTTCTTGTAGACACACTTAAATAAGGAGAAATACGCCCATGCAAAAAAATTTGTATAACAAATCACAAATCAACTCTGCACAAACAAGCGCCAAATGGCCAAGTTAATCAGCTTAATGGCTTTCATTATACGATTTGCTGTTTATTCAAATAATATGAATATTAAATGGCAACTAAATAAAATAGAATATAAATTATAATTTTGCACTGTGCATTTCTTTTTCCTTTTTGAAAATTTTTAATTGGTATAATAATTCGTTAAATAATTCATTCAATTGATTTTCAATTCATATTCAAGCCTGATTTGTGTTTTTCTTTTTAAGTTAAAGTTACAATTTTTAGTTATATTCTATATAGAATTTATACCATTATCTTGCTCCAAAACGGGACTAGCTATCCATTATCGGACACAAACTCAAAACTGCGCGGGCACTAGAAGGACGTATTTCATATTCTGAAATCGATGCGCTCGTACATAAGAACAGATGACGGACGAAAGGTTGGTTAGAAAAACTGACGGACATGGCTGTAATGCAATACACTTACTTGAAGATCTGAAAGTGATTTTGAAGCCGATCGGATGGTTAAGGAAAAGTTTAATAACTATAACAGTATTTTTTGTGTTAGGTTAAAAAACTGACTAAACTAAGATTTCTTACGTTCAATACAAATAAGATTTCACCTTACTTAACGACTTATTAATATTTAATATCGTATTATCAGTTTCAAGCAATGATTTCTTTTTGCACTCTGCCTGCAATTATGAAGCATTTACCAACACTCACGTCAAATTGATTCTCATTCACAACACTTTTGCCGAGTGTTATCCCCGCTGGCAACAGCAGCGGAAACACATCCACCTGACAAACAGCGAGTGGATTATATGCTAAATTGGCAAACAGCAAATATTCATTTCAATTTATGTCAATTTGAATATGCAGCCCCCTACCCGTTCACACGATCTGTACTCAGAGATGTGTTAACAGAAAATCCAGCTAATGCGCATACATCAAAGCCAAAAAATTTCGAGAGGGGGGGGGGGGGGGGAAACCATGGAGCACGCAACGCACCAACGCCACAAAAAGAATAACACATCACGCATACGACATGTAAGCCGCATTATGAATATTTTGTCAGCTAAGCGCTCGTTGGCTGCATTATGTTGCAGCCCAGCCTCCCACTTGCACCTGCCACGCCCACAAATAACAAATAATGATTATCAACATGCAGGGAAAACATTGAAAACGCATTTCAGCTCATTTGATTTATGAATGCAGCGCGACAGTTGACATTCGCATTATTTCGTTATTTTTTATTTCGTGGGAGATTGGGAGAAGCAGCCCAATATACCAGCTAATGCATCAATTATGTCCCTTGGCATTTGGTTTGGTTGTGCATTAAAATGCGTGCAACACGCTCAGAACATTAGTGCAAATAGAAATAACTCCGCACTTTGTGGCAATTGCGTTTTGCTAAATATTACACACATATTATTATTATTATTGATTTTGCGCGATGTGCCCTACACTAAATGCATTCAATTGCACAGGCGTTTGCACCAAATGTACCCTAACTGAAGGCATTGCACTTTTGTCTGACGATTTGGTAGTCATCTTCAGATAAATACACTTATTTTTGCTGCTGTAACTATCTTTGGGGCAGCTGGCATATTTTGCTACGATTATATGCTTAAAAAAGCTGTCGTATGAATTTATGACGAGATGATGAGATGAGATGTTAAAGGTGCGAGCCCCCGCGAAGGAACAAAAATAATAATATGTAAATTAAAGGTAATTAAATGAAGGTAAGCAATTTTATAAGAAATCTTAAATAAATTTTTAAATATATTACTCACATGTCTTTCCCTTAGCAAGATTTTATGTGATGTTCTTTTCAATGTTTTCTCCTCTATCAGAATCTCCCGGCTAAGTCGCTGCATCAAAGTAAAATAAATATAAAGCAAAAGTTTGAATTAATAAAATTTCAATAAATATTCTCCTACTGACAATAAAGGAGGGTATTGCATTTTCGGCCTAAGCATAATTTTTTACTCCTTTTTGGCTCCGCAAAAGCCGCACAAAATTATAATTTTCTTTTTCATAATGCACATAATGCGAATTGTGCAAATTGTCTGAAAATGTTTTTAGAAAGCGCAGCCAATTTTATTGTGTGTAAGCCCAAAAATGCAAACGTCAATTGCTATTTCGGCCAAATCAGCGCAATTTAACGAACCGAGCTGTTAAGTTTATAGCGAAGGCTTTAAATTTACATTTGGGTATTAAATGCGACCTTTTGACAATTTCCAGTTAATTAAATATTATGAGCTCTTATTTTTAAATTAAAATAAGCTTTGGAAAGTGAATTTGAATGCAAATTTTAAATTTCTAGGCAGTCGTATAAATTGAAATAAGAGCCAAACTTGTTCACATTGATAATCAATGCATAAAAACCCACAGATCTTACTTGAATCTATGAGAATCGCATTGGGAGTTGATATTTACTTATTAATATTTTCTTTAATTAAAAAGGAATTATGAATGAAATGATGATACATAATTATATTCATACAAACACATACAATCATACACTTATACATACATACGAGAAAATGAAGAAATCTTCCCATTATTTAAATCAACTCGCATTTGAGCCCGCTTCTTCCTCATTTGAAATTAATAGTTGAAAGTGAATCAAAATCTTGCCTTTGCAATTTGAACTCACATTTTCTGCAGCAAATTAAACACAACTTTAATGTGGTTCAAAAAAAAAAAAACAACTAGAACAATTCGACACACTCTTCGCTTTTATCAGCTTCAATACAATTTTTGTGGGCCATGCCAAGTGAGCTGCATAATGGACTGCCAAAGTCTTATCAATGCACAGCCATCGGCACCTGCCCAGCTGCCCGGCCATGCACACATACCAGCCGGAATACCTACAGCTGTGTGTGTGTGAGTGTGTCTGTATGGCTAGCCAAGCAGGCAGCCGAGTATAAAATCGTAGCATACTTTTCTGCTGGCCGCCGACAAATACCAAATAAATACGTTGCCATTGCATTCCTTTTTCAGACACACAGACATATTACTTTGGCCAAAATGCTTTTTGTTGTTCTTATTACATATATACATATATAAATATACATATACATCTATGTATATATGTAGGCGCACATCTATCTATATATTTATAGCTCACTTCGTTGTTGCTACTTGACTGCGCCGCATGTTGCTCGCTTGGCCCGCATATTGCGCAATCACATAAACCGCTGCAATCGTGAATTTTCAGGTGTGCCACAGCAACAAAATATATAAAATAACAAAAATACAAAAACTACAACAATGGTAGCACAACAAGTTTTTTCTTGTATACAAAGCGCAAATGGAGAACATTTTCCATTGCCTTGCATTGTTTTTGCCGTCGCTGTTGTTGTTTGCGTTATTGTTGCTTTTCATGAAAAGGCTCTCACTTCAAATGAATTTAAACGTTTTACAAAAAACTCGAATTTATATTAAAAACGTATGCAAAGTCCATCAAGGAAAAACGTATTTATTTTAAAATAATTTTTTTAAAAATTATTAAATTCATTTTCTTTTTTTGCTTTGTTGTGAGTAGTTAAATTTTATTACCAAATGTGTAACGTATTGCAAGCAGAGTTTACATCGAAAAGTGTGTCAGAAATTAAAATAAATGCTTCAAAGCCTTTAAGTAGATCTAAAGGCATTATAATTGAGATATTTTATCTAAAGGGATTTTTATATAAGAATGATAAAAATATGAACAGCATTGGATTATGGTTTCTACAATAATACTTGACTGAGAAAGGGGCTGCTTAAAATATTTAATGTTTGATATTTATTTATTTATTTATTTGTCAGCCAAAAGAAACCTTTGCAATTTCCTTTGCTGTAAAATAAGCAATTAATATTTTTTTCATATATTATTTATATTTAAACTCACAATTTCTGCTATATATACTTTCATATTTTACATAAAAATCCGCCGATTATCCATAATTAAATCATTCATTTATACGCGTCAATACTTAATTATCAGCCACAGGCACGCTGTCGTATACGTAATGTGTTAGCAGCCAAGTTAAATGCAAATACGATTACGCATCTGCTTGAAAATTAATTAACTGCCAAAGGGAAACTGAGCTGAGCTGAGTGCCAACTGTTTGTGGCCAACAGTTTCGGGCCATAGACAAAAAGCAACGAAAATTTCGAGAAAAAAAAATTGTACCTGGCTTCAAGTACAAGCAAAGGCAAAGGCAAAGGCAAAGGCAATCCCACAAAAATTCGGTTTTACCCCAATTGAACGATGAATTCGGATTAACGAGCAGCTGCTGCCTGAACTGTAGCACAGCTGGGGGTAAATCGGTTTTAATTGATATTTACCAAAGTACTTGATGTAAGCAAACACTTTGAGTTTTGCGTCTAAAGCAAATTTCGTTGCCTGGCAAAAATATGCCAAAAATGTAATTTTTGGGCAACCTTGTTAAATAACTGTATACATTTTTTTTTATATTTCTCTCCTTTTTTTGTAATTGCCTTTGTTGCATATCGAATGCAGTTGGCAACAAAAATGTTCAATTTTCATTGGGTTGCAATTGGCACAATAAACCGCGCTGCCAGTGTTGACAAGTGTTCGCCGAGAAAATTAACGTTTTACCGCAAAACTGTGCGCCTGGCCAGCGGCCAGTGCTGCACATTCCAATTGCACTGTCAACACTCGCGCAGACGCACACACACACACACACACAAATTGTTAACCGAAAAACTGCAGTCGTTGAGTGGTTGCGCTTCTACTCCCATGTGTGCATGTGTGTGTGTGATTGTGTGTGTGCGTGTGTGGCTTTTGCGGTCTTGCCTTTGCACACACATTCAACGTTAATTGATCCAACAGCAAGCAGCAATAAAGGATTTGATTTTCAGCATGACAAAAGGCAATCCCAGTCGCTTGCCGGCTCTATCATTTGCTTTGCCAAGTCAACGAGTCCATCAGTCAATCAAACAGTCAGTCAGTCAGTCAGTCAGTCAGTCAATCAGTCAGTTAGTCAATCTGTGTAGTCAATCTGGCAGTCAGTCTGGCAATCAACTTGTGAGCCATTGCCTTGTAATTGAATTTTAAACTTTATTTACTGTTTGCACACGGTGCGCTCGGCATTTGCCTAACGCCAGACAATTGCTTTTGGTAAGGGGGGGTAAGGCTGTCACTGAGGTGGGCGTGGCCCAGTTGGCTACACAAAAATCTCAAATCTCAACACTACACAAAAGTACTTACAGTTCAATTACCCAAAAACAAAAAGACAAAACGACGCCAATCAAGAAGGCGACTTTGTGAATGCGTGCCCTAACCGGGGATACCCTGTAATCAACTGAGCTTCTTCTTGCCCAAGCCGTAGCAAATTGATTTTTCAATAATTTCATTTAGACTCAGCACATTGGAATGAAATTTAGGTTTGTAGTCGCGAGAATACAGAAGACAGGGCGACAAAGTCTCAAGACAGTGCGACAAAATCTCATTCAAATTAAAATTTAAGAAGAGTAATTAATTTATGAAAAAGTAACTCGGAAATTTGGCCTGTCCAGCTTCTATTGTGGCTTGCGCAAAACCATAACCAAACAATTAGCTTTAAGACAGAGACAAGACTGAAGAGCCTCACGATTGAAGCTAAACGATTACAAAAACTGGCTTTTGCCTGGTACATACATCAGCTCGATTTGGCAAGCCCGTTTTACCGCTTCTTAATAACCGTAGGGTAACAGCGTGGAAAATAAGAAAGCCCATGTTTTTTACTGCACTTCAAAAATACAACACTCGGCAGTTTTTTTGGCCGCCACTTTTAGCTGTTGCCTGTCAATCAAAAGCGCGCGCAGCAGACACTAGACGCAAAACAGGCGGGGAGGGCGGGTGGCAGCGGGACAGAGGGGTGTGGCATCGGTTGGCAGACAGTGTGAGTTATGGTTATCTGTGGCGCAACGTTTAGACAAAAAGCTGTGGGCGGCAACTGATTTACAGTGGCTGCAATCGGTAAATACTCAAAGGCTGTAATTTGGTTCAGTTCAAAAAGGATTTCAAACGTGGTGCAGATGTCGTAGAAAATTGGTTTAAAGGAGAAAAAACTGGTTCAAAATGGATATAAAAGTGATGTAAAATAGGTATAAAAGGAATGAAAGAGATTTAAATAGGTATAAAGGTGGTTCAATAAAGAAAATGAATAGGCTCAAGATATATGTTAAAGGTACTTTAAAAGTATTTTAAAAGTGGTTCTAAAAAAGAAAATGGTTCAGAAAAAGGGTATGAAAGTGGTTTAAGACAGGTACAACTGTTTACTGCTTATAAAGGTAGTTCAAAAAGCCTCAAAATATTCATGGTTAATTAAGAGTATTTTAAGATTGGCTTAAAGGAAACAAAACTGGTTCAAAACGAGTATAAAGATGGCTTTAAAATGGGATAAAAGTGGTCAACATAGATCTAAAAGTGGGTTAATAAAGGTGTGACTCACTGAAGAAAATAAATTGGTTCAAAATATAAAGTAAATTTATGAGTATTATAAAAGAGGTTTAAAAGAAAAAAAAAACTGGTTTAAAACGGGAATGAAAGTTGCTTAAAACAGGCATAAAAGTGGAATAATAGAGGCATAAATATGGTTAAAAAATAAAATAAATAGGTTCAAGATATAAAGATAATTTAAGAGTATTATAAAAGTGGTTGAAGGGAGTATTTTATGTGGTACAAAAAATGAGTAAAAGTAATTCAATCTGATTCCAAAGAGATGTATAAGTGTATGCAGTTGATTAAAAGGATATGAAATTTCAAATCATATAAAATATTCAAGCATTGAGTCTGAATTTGGTTCAAAATATTATAAATCCCATCAGATCATACGCCCCAATCTGATGGGATTTATAATATTTTACAACACGATTA